TATTATTATTATTATTATTATAATTATAATTATAATTATAATAGTAACAATAATAATAATAGTGATGATATTGTTATTGTTATTACAATTATAATTATAATTATTTATAATTAGTAATTATTTATAATTATTATGATTATTTATAATTATTTATAATTAATAATTATTTATAATTATAATTATAATTATTACTATTATTATCATTATTATTATTATTATTATTATTGTTATTATTATTATTGTCATTATTATTATTACTATTATTATTATTATTATTATTGTCATTACTGCTATTATTATTATTATTATTATTATTACTATTATTATTATTATAAGGCACGTAAAATTAACAGTGATTTGAGCTGCAAGACTTTATATTTTTCCATCCAATTTATCAAAGCAAAAACATGATTTCTACTTATTAAAGCGAAATCACGATTTCTACTTATCAATACAGAACTACAATTTCTATTATTAAAGCGAAATCATGATTTTTATCTATCGAAGCAAAATCATGATTTATTTCTGCTCATCAGTACAAAATCACGATTTTTATTTGCCAAAGAAAAATCATGATTTCTGCTCATCAATAGAAAATCATAATTTCTGCTTACCAATACAAAATCATGATTTCTATTAATCAAAAAAATTTCATGGTTTTTATTAATCAAACACAAAAACCCTGGTTTCTACTTACCAAACCAAAATCATAATTCTTACTTATTACCAAAGCAAAATCATGATTCCTACACTTATTTGGACAAAATCACGATCCCTACTTATTCAGGCAAAATCATGATTTCTAATTGCCAAAGTAACATCATAATTATTTCTCATGAAAATAATCGATCATAATTTCCGATGAATTGTTTTCATTTTGCAAGGATACAAAAAAAAAAAAAAAAAAGCATGATGACAATGTATGAATTAATTAATTAATGCTTCTCCCATACTAAGATGAAATGCATCCAAAACATATGTAATTGATAATGAATGATAATTTTGATGAAATCATTTATGAATTGGTATGCTGGAAGTAATATTCGTTTGCTTCTGGTGGAAGTTTCCATCCGCTTGCTCCTAGTTCCATCAGTAAAAGAATCATTTTACGTGCCCATGGTTCTTGTACCTATTCATACAATATATGATTATATGAGGAGTAAAATTGCTAGAACAATAAAAATCGTTTGTTCCTAGCTCTCTACCAATAAAAGAATCATTTTATGTCCCTATGGTTCTTGTATTTATTCATACAATATATGATTGTATGAGGAGCAAAATTGCTAGAACAATAAGAATGTTAATTAAAAATTTATCTCTTCTCATATGAAATTATTATTCATATGAATGTATATCAATAAAATAATAATCTCAAATTAATCATTCTACTATATGAATAAATTATGATTTAATTATAAGATGAAATTCGGAAAATATACCTCAATAAAAGCATCTCGGATGAGATCCTTCAAAATGGCTAATTGTTCGGGACATTGTCTTTCGAGGTCATAACCAACGCTGAGCAAACAACCAATCAGACTTTCCAACTATATGAAAAAAAAAAAGACATTAAATTTAAGGAATTAATAAATAATTCAAAAATTTTTTTTTAATTCTAAACAAAGGAAAATTTTAACCACAAATGTAATATTTGTTCTTTTAATTCATTCCACTTAAGATTATTGAAATTAATTTAAAAAAAAAGAAAATTAATTACTTCATCCGAAACGTTTTATCTAAACAATTAATTTATAAAATCTATTGCATAAATATATCTAAGTGTAATCTTTTGAAATTAATCATTCCCTTTTTGGTTCCTGTAAATCTCCTCTATATGAAATTAAATAAACATTTAAAAAGTAGTAAGTTTCCTTCACCGAAATTGTTTCAATTTCAATTTTTGTTTTAATCTAAAATTTAAACCAATCACTTTCAAATTTTATTTTTTCTTTTTGTTCAATGTTTATCAGTTTGTTTTGTTTATTTGAACAATTTGAAAATTTAATGGGAAATAATTAAACTAAAAAATGAAAAAAGAAAAAGAGAAAGCATTTCATATAAATGAAATGAAAATTTGAATTTCATAAAATTTCTAAAGTGAAATTTTACCATTTTAATGTACTAAATAAAAAAGGATAGATTTTTGAGGGAAAAGAAAAAAGATTTAATACCAACCTCCTCAATTTTTAGTGTATCGAGAGTGGGGGCTTTGAGCAAATAGCCAAAAATACGAAAAACAAGATCGACAAGTTCTCCTGCAAAGTATATATATATATATGTATCTATATATGTATAAAATATTGAAGTAATCATAATTGAAATTAAATGATAGCAGAAAATAACTTGAATTTTAATTGAAATCAATTTTCAAATCGATTCAAATTTTCGAATTTCATATAATTTAAAATATAATTTGAAGCAAATGCAAAAAAAAAATGACATGACTAAATATATGATAAATTTATATAAGACAAAAAAATTTTTATCTATGACAAATGATATTTTTTGAATTCTATCCTAAAATTCTCATTCCTTTTCTAATTTCATGTTTTTTAGATTTTAAAATTTTTAAAATTTTAATTTTAAATTTTCATTTCTTTTCTAATTTTATTCTTAATTACAAATAATTTTATTTAAAATAAATTTTCAATTTTTTGAATTGTTCGATTTCCCTAAACAAAAGGAAGTTGCATCTTTTTTAATAGAGAAATAAAAAGGAAGGATTATTGGGGAAAAAGTTTAAAATCGATAATCTAATTAGCAATTAGCTA